GAAAGAGAGAGAGAAAGAGAGAAAGAAAGAAAGAAAGAAAGAAAGAAAGAAAGAAAGAAAGAAAGAAAGAAAGAAAGAAAGAAAGAAAGAAAGACTATTTCTCTTACTTTGTTTGTAGTTTACTGATAACTCTATTAAAATTCACTTCTCAGAACTAGAGAGATGGCCCAGCAATTGATGCACTTGCTGCACTTCCAGAAGACAGAGATCTAATCCTCAGTACCCCAAGGCAGCTCACAGCCATTTGTGACTGCAGAGGTCCGAGTCGAGCATTCCCCATTATTAGGCCTTCTCCTCGTTAACCATCATGGCGCAGTGAAGAGACAGGCCCGTTTCACAGTCCTCATTTGCCTGACAAGCTTGACTCACATTGAATCTGCCCACAGAGGGCAAGAGAGGGGTAGGAAATAACATCTGTGGGTGCTAACATGCTCCGGGGCCATTCCATCTTTTTATCCTCAAGATGAATGTTCTGTTTTGAAATAAATACTCACAGGAAGTTACAAAAACAGTAAGAGTCTTGTGTAGCCTCTAGCCAGCTTCCTCCATCTGGGGGACTGGGGGAGGGAAGCAGAAACCCATGAAACCCATGTGGAAGGGAAAGGCGGGGTCAATGTTTTCCTTCTCTCTGCCCACGGCTGTCTCAAAGATGACCACTGTGTTATCATTCTACTTCTCTACTGGCACACGATGTATGACACTAAAATAATTAATTGAGGGCATTAGATTAAGGTGGCCCTGGTACCCACGATCCTACCTAAGCAAACCATTTTCAATCCTCAGTACAAACAGTCTTGACCTTGGGAGACCCATTGACTTTGAGTGCACCAAAACAATTATGGCTGCTCCCCCTTAACCATCAAGCGATTCCTTTGCCTTTGAGCTGAGCTTCAAAAAAAAAGTTCTTCCTTTTCCCTATTTGTTGGAACCCCTAACCAGCAACAAGGTCTGGAGCACTTGACTCACAAATTTCTGTCCCAGCTTACAGATTGTTCTTACAGCAGCTCACGGTTCTGTGCCCTGACAGGCTTAGCTGGATGGGCCCTCTGACGCTTCATAAGCTGGGTTTATAATAGCCTAAGTGGCTTCAGGCACCTATGCCAGGCTTTGACAGGAGTGGGTAAAGGATGGGCTTATTTGGGATAGTGGGGTGCTTCACCTTTCTGTGGATTCAGGAGTCTATGGGGTACCTGTAACTGAGTGCATGATAGGCAGTCTTAGGCACACAATGATGTTGCGCAGGCTCAGTTATGTGAAAAAAAGTAAATCAAGTTGCAAAGCAATGTGTCTCTTGTCCTGTGGTCTATATTGAAATATATGTTATGTATGTACTGATGTGTAATGCCTAGGAAGTTACTAAATAAGAAGAAGGAAGAAGTCTGGATAAAACATTAATGGGAATGAAGTGTTTTCCTGTGAGGTAATCTGGGTGCTTGGGAACGGGAACAGAGTGCTGTTTGTCATTGTTCTTTTGAACCACTTCAGTTCTGAGTCTTTTGTGCAGTTCGGTAGCTCAAGTTTTGCACCAGAGAATAGAGCATGATTGGGTTCCTCTAATGGGCTCTAGAGGTCAGGTAATGTAGAATCAAGGCATGCAGGGGGTGAGAAGAAAATTAAAGGACTGCTGTTGAGATGTCTTCCTGTTGATGATGAATCATGCTCACCATGCATCTGGCATTTCTTCTTGGCCGTTTGCTGCAAACAGGAAGGAGGAAGATCGGATGTCTCTTTAACAGCTTAGATGAGAAAGGCCAGAGTCCTCTGAGTTCAGCAAGAGACAAGGCAAATACGCCCCACCCTCCTCCTTCACCTTTCACTTCTCTAAGCCAATGCAAAAACAAAGAGATGTATAGTGTGAGCGGTGGCCACGCCATGTGAAAACTCACCATGTGAAAAGTGCCTCCATTTTGGATAAACAACAACCGTAGAAACTACAGAAATTTGGTTCCTGGAAGTCAAGTAACCCAGGCCTCCAGATCAGTGATTCTCAACCTGAGTTAAGACCCCTTTGGGGGTCGCATATCAGATATCCTGCATTTCAGATATTTACATCACAATTTATAACGGTAGCAAAATTACAGTTAAAAAGTAGCAATGAAATAATTTTATGATTGGGGGTCACCACAATGTGAGGAATCATATTAAAGGGTCACAGTATTAGGAAGGTTGAGAACCATTGCTCTAGCTAGGTTCTTGACTTCTTGCCACAATAATGGCTACATGACATTCTTCAACTGGCCACTCACAGGTCACCTGCAGCAATGACCAATCTTAACCAATGAAGGAGACTTTTCCATCTCTGTCCACCCCACTTCCTGTGAATACCATGGGGAAGATCCCCACTTGGCCATGCTGCTATCTGCCTATGGCGTTCATATATCTTCTAATAAATTTCTTCCTCAAATACCAGTCTACCTCAGTGTCCTCCCTTGAACCCAAATGCTTCATTTAACTGAAGACCTAAGTAGACACAGACAATCGGCTTTAATACCTGAATAGGAAATGATTAGACACATCTATGTTTAGACTTAGAGGACAGAGAGAGATCATAAACTTTTTAAAAGATAAAACAACACAGATCTCAATTTTTAAAAGGGACATTGCTAACTGTAAGAAAGAAAATTTAAACATAGACCACGATGGTAAGTATCCATCATTAAATGAATATTTTTTTACAAAACAGCACAGAGCTCAATGATAGACAGATTGCTTAGCAGGCCCAAGGACCTGGATTCTACCCCCAATATTGAGGTAAGGAAGGGGGGTCACACATATACATGAAACATGATTCAGCTTTCAAAGGGGAGATCCTATCAGCTTTAACAATATTGATGAACCTGAGAGACACTATGTTAAGTAAAATAAGCTGAACAGAAACAGAAAGGCAAATACTTCATTATCTCATATGCACAATCAAGAAAAATTTGAGTCCCTAAGGAAAAAAGACTGGAATAGTAGTTACCAGAGACTGAGGGAGGAAATGAAGAGGGGGGGAGAAAACAGATTTTAGTCAAAGAATATAAATGTTTTATGTATTCTCATCACAAAGAAGTATGCGAGCTAATGCACATGCTAACTAGCTTGATTTAACTAGTCCACCACACAGACATATCTAAAGCATTAGATTTCATACAGTAACTATGCAGGATTTCTGTCAAATTAAAAACTAAAGAAAAAGAAAACAATTGACCTGGCCAACTCATCAAGGAGTGAGTTCTCTAGAGCCCACCTGACATGCACAAAGCCCTGGGTTCAATGCCTAGCACAGTATAAACTAGCTGAGGTGCCACATTCCTATAATCTTGGTACTGAGGAGAGAGAGAGGAGAGATGGGAATACCAAGGGTCATCCATGGCTACAGAGTGAGTCAAGGTTAGCCTGGGCATCAATTAATAAAAAATAATTAATACCTGCAAGATAATTGGGTTATGGAAGCCTCTACTTTCTCTCATTTCTAAGATATGAAAAACCACATCAGTGATCACAAAATCATCGTGTAAGCAGTCAGATATGAAACATTTGCTAACTAGAGTGGAAACAGAAACGCTGTACTCCTACATCAGACAAACCCTGTCCCTGTTAGCACCAAAAGTGGACATCAATGATTCATAGATCCTGGGGCCATGTTATTTTGATGCTTGGGTTCCCCACTGAAGAGCTTGTGCCTCCATTGGAGAATGATTCTGAAAATTTAACATTCAGTGTCTACGCTCCATGGAAGTGAGGTTGCTGGTGTGTTACTTACACTGAGAGATAA